CGTTGGGGTTGTGAAAGATAAGCTAAAAGCCTAGGCTGAAAAGCTTTTAAGTATGCAAGGCAAAGTTAAATTCAATTAATTCGTGAGACCCATACATTCAACTGTGGGAAAAGTCAACAATCACCCTTACATCAACATAAACGACTCAGGGTAAATCATGTTTTTTCTGCATTAGAAAGAATACTTGCTTTGCTCTAGAACTCCTACTCTTACATGATTACAAAAGTGATCTATTTCACAGAATGGACCTAGAGTTAAACATCCTCACATTTGGGACCAGAACCAAGGACAGAAAGGCTATGAATTGGGCCCATTAGTCCATGGATCACACCTTGCGGCGCCATCGGGATGCATGTGGCAAGTTGGGCCTCTTTCAGCCCACATATGACGTTCAAAATTTCTAGAAAGCAGATATGCGCTTGGCTACGGAGATGAAGAGCTGAATCCATCGAAAATAACATGACATCGGATAGTTAATTTCGTATGAAAAGTTGAAAAGTGACTTCCGTTAAACTTAGTGCCTTGATGCTAGTCTTGTGATAATTGAACAAACTAAGACACAAGATGAAATGTGACGAAAGCGGGCTGTATTGAGCCTGAGGTACATCAGAATGAAAGCCTGTAATACAGGTCGGGTCGGGTGTTTCGAGGTTTTTTCGAAGGCACAGAAATTGAAGATAGAAGAAGCAAGCACTAGCCATTATTGTGCTATTCGGGTGGAGATGCGCTGAACAGTCAATAAGCCCTAATCCTTAATTGAAACTTGATAGCGCTTAACGCCGCTTTGTTTCACGAAGGCTTGGTAACGCCGCAGCAACAACATTGAGGCAATATGCGATGTATTGACCATATTTCAATGAGGTAATGAAGTCTCGAAAACCAATTTATAAACAAAAAATTCCGCGAGGCCTAACTCTATGTAAGAAATGACATTTATGAAGAAATACAGGCATTTTTCACCATTCGATTTGATGTCATAATGGCAATGTCTAGACTATCAAAAACATTAAGCAGGTTATTACAAAATTATGCTGATATTGTATTTTGATGGAAAAAAAGTCAATCCTTGTTCATGGCATCGTCAACATAGATGCGAGTTTGCAAACCCACTACAAGGTGAAATGTCCTCCTCCAAAACTGTACATTATGGCCTTGACAACCGTAAGGGATGATGAAAAAACATGGATGAGGTTGAATATTTAGCCTACCTTAAATGAGCTGTTATTAACTTTCTTATGTGATACATAGCAAAGAGAAATCTTTAATTTAAGCAAGTTCACACCTCATAGAGTGCTTTGAACATCGAGACTTCCTTAGCTTTCATATGAAATTATTGTTTGTGTCTTGGGCTGGTTCCACTCCTTAGCATTTTACTTCCTAAAACTTGCCTATTTTCGACACTATGTCTCTTTCAACATTTTGAGAACCGCCTAATGAGCTCGATTCCAATGTCTGGACATGAAGCCTTAGAAAATTCTCTCCTTTTATCATAAATTGCATTCCAAAAATATGAATTGTTTTTACCCTATTTCGCTTAAAATAATGAAGTACTGCCAGTTGAGTGCTCTCACACTCTTATAAATAGGCCTCATATTTCCATTGAAGTTCACATCATTTGCTTTCTAAAAGGTATTCTCATCCAGGCAGGGATGGACTACAGTTTCGACTTTCTCCCGATCTAGTCTCATCGGCACTCGCGGCGGGACGCGAACCTGGGTTTTGGTAGTACAACATATAGTCCTGACACGTTTACAACTACTACAACTGATAGTCTCGAGACCTACTTATAAAAGAAAATAAGTAATGGGGTTGGTTGCTTGAGCAAATACAATTGTGCATTATCAATAATTCTACTACAGAAATGAGATATTGAAAAGGCCTGGCCTTCCTTGAAATTTACGCCTGCTCTTTTGTCAAAGGGCAATCGTGGTAGTACGGCGTAGTGGCTAGCGTGTCGAGGCTATATACTGCACTACCACAACTCGGGTTCGAGACCCGCGGAGGTTGAAATTGTAATCCACTTCAGCCTGGATAAGAATATCTTTTGGGAAGCAAGGCTATGTGAAATTTAAATTAAATGTAAGGCTTACTCATATGACTTTCAGTCCTTCATCACCCTAGACAAACTATGATGTATACACTACTTTTTCAGGATCTACTGGTAGTCTACTTGAATGCCTACTTACAAACGAAAACAAACACTTTCGTCGATTAAAAACGCTAAGCGTCAATGACCGTCCCAAATAAAGATACTTACGTACCAACTAAAGATTGTCTTAGTAACTTAGATGAAGCGGGAAATGCTCAATTCTAGTTAGCCTAGTTAAACTGGAAGTCACACAGACGGGTGAACATACAGATAAAAAGAAATACACACAAGCAGACAGGCAGACACATAGATGAGCCAGATAGACAGATAGACAGACAGAAAGTTGGGCAATCGGGTAGACAGCATGCCAAACTGCAAACAAGCAGACAGACAGACAGTAAGTCAAAAGATGACTATCCATGCATCCATACTGGCAAGACTACAGATAAAAAAGCGAGCTAACGTATGGACATACAAGAATATAGACATGCATAAAGGCAAGCAGAGAAACGTACACACATGCATACAGACGCTAACACAGGCAGACAGATAGACAAACGGGCCGATAGATGGGCAAGCGATACATGTAGATGAATAAACAGACATATGGACAGAGAGATACAAAAGCAGACATGCAGACAAGCAGTCAGCTATTTATATGGACAGGAAGGAATACGAGCAACTAGACAAGTGGAGGCAGACAGGCGTGTAGGAAGACAAGTAATGGGGACGGAAGGAAGTCTGAAAAACGAGTTAGACGCAGATAGACAAACAAGTAGACGGACGGCCAGACAAACAGCCAGATAGACATTAGTACAGACAGGGAGGCAGGTAGCCAGGCAGACGAGTGGATAACCAAGCAAGCTGACAAGGAGGCATACATTTAGATGCTAATAATTACAGACGAGCAAACAGACAAGAATAAAGACAGACGAGCACACATAACGATAGGGAGACAGACAGGCGGCTAATCATACACACAAGCATACAGATGGACATACAGACATTCGGACACCGGACATACAGGCATACAGACAGACATACAGATGTACACATGGACAGACGGACAGTCAGACGCGGAGGCGGACAGAAAGTGAGTGTGGCAGGGGGACAAACGTGGGGTCGGAGAAGGGATTCTTTTGTCTCAACATCAAAACGACAACCAACGCCATCCGATGCAAGCGTCACGTATTGCAGCCTGGCGGAAATAGGTGGTCCCATCCGATGGCCTATTTACATAAAGCAGCGAATTGTTCTTATCACAAACTCAAATCTCCATCTCGAGGCCAGCATAGTGCTGGCCTCTTCCACCAGCATCATTACAGCCGGCTTCATGCCTGCTCATTTTTGCCTCCCAATTCTGTACTTCCTACCCGGCCAGCATTTATCCGCTGCCAGGCCCACCATCGAGAGGCGGACGTCTGATTGACCGGCGAGTGGCTCGTCCAGTCCCCCTCGGCAGCAGCCGTCACCCTTACAGGCGCAAATTTGCCACAAACCCCTCCGCCTTAGGCCGGGGTCAGTTGACTGAGAAAGAGGTAAAGAGGCACGTGTAAATGAGGCAAGGGTGCGAGCGTTTCACTCGGTCTCTTTACACTCTCGACAGAGAAACTCACACACATGCTCTCGTGTGCAAGAGGCCTATGGGCAAAGTTGAGACCGCTAATTACTCTTATCCTGTGAACTTGATCGACAGTAGCCTTTTTCTACTTGCATGGCGCCCTAGGCCAAGAACAAAGTGGTATGACGCAAGATCACTTGCATTGCTAACGAGTAGCAATGTTTCTCGAAAGATGATCTATGCAAGTTCTGAGAATTGACAATAAGTGGCTATTCTTTCTCATTTCCAATAAAAGTAATTTCAACTAATATCAGTAATTTTTCATTAAGAGCTTAGTCACCCTAAATGGTTAATGGTGATTTAAGGACTGCTAGTCGAGTTTAGCCATCTTAAGCGGCCTAGGATTAGTGAGCTCATATTCAAGAATTAATGATAGTCTCGAAAACTACTTATATCGAAAATAAGTAACATGTCGATTGCAATGACAAACAGATGTTGGCTTTTCCCCCCGTATAACTAAGGCTTCGAGATGGCTTAAGTGACAATTCCAGAATGAAAATATGAGTTGGGAAAGGCCTGGACGAGATGTCGTTTTCAGAGGCAAGTCTAAGAGAAATCGTAGACATGAAGGCCAAATATTGTGACTGAAACCATAAGGCCGTGTTGTCAGGATTTAGGACGAGCTGTACACACCTCGTCCCAAGTCCTCTGTGATAGTAGTTATGATAATTCCCAGTGTCGGGCCTTGGACTTGATACATTCCTGGACCCTTCAAAGGCATTGTGCTAGGCATCATTCGGTTAGCCTAGTTAAACTGCAAGTCACACAGACGGGTGAACATACAGATAAAAAGAAATACACACAAGCAGACAGGCAGACACATAGATGAGCCAGAATACAGATATACAGACAGAAAGTTGGGCGATTGGGTAGACAGCAGATTCACTTGCCTTTTTGATGATTTGTAACTTGACGCTAAAAATGGCAAAACTCGGTGACGATACCAGTCAACCGTCTGTGAATGTACCAAGTTCATGGTCCGACGTTACTATAGCAGAAGACTTCGGAAAAATTGCTTCCAACTAAGTCCACCTTACAACACCAACAAGTTGAGAAAACGAGTTAAAACCAATTACATATAGTGATTGGAGACTGTATAGTGAGACGTACTCATCTTATTGCGGAATAAAAACTCAACTATCATTCTTAAAATCCTCTGAAGCCACCCAGGGTGACTAAGTCCATTTTCTTTCTAAGCTCAAAGCTTCATGATCACGGTGTCTATGGTAAAATGTACACATTACTTTATTTACTTTTTACCTATTTTTGATATAAGTTGTCTTCTAGACAATCGTTATTACTCCAATAACTAATCTGTCACTCTAGATTGCATCAAAGTGGTCTGAACAAATCTTCACAACCTGGTCGCTTCGTCAGAGAGGCTTAGTTGGACGCATCTTGTCTGAAGTCCTATGCTATAGTAGTTATCATAATTACCAGCGTCGTATCGTGGACTTGATGCATTCGCAAAAGTTTCACCGGCCTCGTAGTCTGCATTGTCAGTGAGTCTTGCAATTTCAGTCTTGACACCAAGCTACAACTCGTGAAATAGACCAGTTTCAGCTTGGCAAAACTCACTGACAATGCCGGCTAAGATGCCGACGAAACAACTGGGAATATATCAAGTCCACAGTCCGACTCTGAGAATTATGATAGCTGCTATAGCAGAGGACTTCGGGCAAGATGTCTCCAATCCAGTCGCCCTGACAACACGACCAAGTTGCCAAGACGAGGTCAGATCACCTCTTTACATCGAAAGTAGACTTCGACCAAAATAAAGTCTGCAACATCTTGTACTTCATATCTACGTTTAAAGACCAACGGTTGAGTTATCCTAAAAGCATAATCTCGATATCTACTTATACTGAAAATGAGTAATATCGTCTGGTGCAATAACAAATACATG